ATTGCTTTCTAACAGCTGCCTTTAGTATTTGATTAAGGTATCAATATCATTATTTTTTAATTTACAATAGTCTAGAATATTTATTTACAGTACAGCACTCATATCTAATTCTGTCAAATAAATGGACCCGTCAACAATTTAGAATTGTCTTTTAACCTTTTTAATCGTAAGCATTCCCTTTTGCAGATTTATAACCCTTTAAAAAGACTATATTTGTATAGTGCCATAATTGGATGGAAAATATATGCAACTTTAGTGAGTCTCCAATTCAATACCAAGATGTTTTAGATCTATTTAACTGTAGAATCATTTTATAAAGTATTAGAAACAAGAACAAATGAAATACCTTCTGTAGGCGATGAATTTTCGATCATTTTTGGTTATTTCTATTATCGTACATTTTTAGCAGATGTACGGGTATCTCAAATAATTCTTATAAGGATAAAAGTATCAAGCTATACTATATGCCGTTGCGTCTTTACAGAAAGCGTTCTAGCAACACCAGCAATGAGCATGTAGCACCATCTAGTAAACTTTCAGAGACAAGAATACGAGACTATAAACAACAGCAGAATGAATGCATCTATAGAACTAGGTCTTGAAACCTCAGTTTATACTTATATCCAGATTTCTGCTATATTTTATCGATATATTGATATATTGTCTTCAAGTCTACTTCATTCGGATAGATTATATATAGTATAATGCAATTTAATTTTCGATAGTGTACTATCAAAGCTTCTTCTACAACGTTAAATACTAATAATAAGTAATTTTTTTCATCAACTTCGTGCTAATTCATTGATAAAATCCTTATGTCATACACATGAGTTTACTCTATTCTAATGTTACTTCACGCAAATAACTTTTTAGAAAGCTCTAAATTGTATTAATAAGCTATAAAATTCTTCCCTATCATTTAATTTCAGCTGTAAGGAATCATTCTGATTTATTTTAAGCTAATCTTTTAATAATTTCATGCCAGCGAGTGTTATGATATTATGGAAGATGCATTTTCACCAGAACGGTCAATATCAGTTATAATGAGTAATGTTACATTATGGTTTTAATTTTTAGCTTCTACAATAACAAATAATGCTGACGAAAGGATACAATTACTGTAATCATTCATTAATACTCTAGTATTGTACAGTAATGTCATCTATAACTCAATAACCGATGAAATGAGACACTTATAGTAACGATGAAATATAAACTATTGTAGCCTTATTAATATTACAAGCAGAATCGCCGCCTCAAGTCCTCTTAAATCTCACAAAATTCAATATCTCATTGACTCTAGTACTCTATCAATATTATTTAAAATAACCATTGAAGTAATAGGATCAACTTAGATAGTAATAGGCGTAATATCTGAAATATTATACATCAAATAGACTATAGGAATAATCAAAATAAAATACTTATTACGCATTCTACATTAAGTTTCGGTACCGGTAATTGTAAACATTTTAAATTGATCAAAAAGCCTCAGAATGAGAAGAGTTACTTATTTCTATAGTAACGATGAAATAAACTGCTATTACTCTTACTAATTTTACAACACAATTATTTGCCTCAAGTCCTCTTATATCTCCAAAAAGTCAAGATCTCATCGATGTTACAGCTTTACAGATGCAATTTAAAGTAAGCATTGAAGTAATATAGTCAATTTGGGTAGTGCTAGGCGTAATATTCGAAATATTATACATCAAATAGACTATGGAAATAACCAAATACAATACTTACTACGCATTTTAGACCATATATAGGTTATCGTTAATATTTTATATTGATTGGAAAGCTTTGTATCTCAATATTACAA